AATATCCTTCCATGTCCACCCCAGGCCCGCATCGTCGCTGCCGTCGTATCTGTTAGCTTCCACGGCGTTCATCGTCGCCGCCATACACACTCGATCACCACCAGTGACAGAGGCGACCACCAGTTCAGAGAAAGAAGAGCTCACAGACAAACGAAAACAATGGCACAGACAGTTCGTTTGCTGTGCAGTGGATTACGTTTGGAAGAGGAGAGAGGGTGGTGGGGGGTTAAATGGGTTAGAAAAGGGAGGGGGTGGGCTTTTTATGATGTGTAGTGGTGTGTAGAAGTGCTGTGTACACATAGCATTTCTCAATATAGCTTATATATGCCATTCTACCCAAATCATTGGATAAGGACTGACAACACAAGAACTGAGCAATTGAGCATTACAAGACCATAATATTATTATGTCTGATATAAACAGCTTTTGGTCATAAGAATCTAACATAGGCCAATCACCAATGAAAACTCTACAATTATACCTAAAATATACGGAGTACTCCGTATAATGAACACCGTAACATGTTCACTACAGGACTGGTTGGCGTCAATAGTTTTTTTTATCATAAAAGAGTGGTCGTTATGTTAAAATCAAGAACACGTAATCGACAATCTTCAGACACAAATTACAGATCTAATTGTGAAACATGTGAGTAGACTTAGAGTCAATCATCTCATACAAAACAACATGACTCGCTAAACTTGAAATGAGCATATTTAGGTCTAAAATGATCGGAATCAAAACCCTGCCTATAAAAAGAACTCCAAATATCCAAACATTCAAACCAAATCTACTTGGACTAAAACAGAAACAAGTGCTACTAAAGAGAATATAATACTGAAATAAAACCGTTTCACAAAGCTCTTTCTGGTATGGAGGTGGTTCCGGAGGAGGACGAGATCTAACAATATGGATGAATACAAACTCTGCTACCGTCTGAATGGCTGACCAAGGCTTCACGATCCCGCCTCAATACAACCTCCAAGCCGCACCTCGTTCATCCGCCAACGCTATCTCCTCCGACGTAGGTATAATCCCAACCGTTAGAACACTTAAAATCAGTATAATCTGCCGCTTCAACCCCATATTGATATGGGCGGCGGAAAATCCCAAACCCTACAAAGAGGGGAGAAGGCCGCTAGGGTTTCTCTACGTCGACGTCAATATTGACATACATGATTCGTCCAAATAAAAATTAAGTAAACTTAATGAAGAATTTATCAGTTAAGCATTACTTAAAATAAAAGGCATAAGTTCATATACGAAATATATATATATATATATATATATATATATATATATATATATATATATATATATATATATATATATATAGTGTAGGGGGTTAACTTATTGACATAAGTTAAACATTTATTTGGCATAAGTTCATATACAAAATATATATAGTGTGGGGTTTACACAGTCGCAAAAACCAGAATAAAATTTGATATAAATTTGATATGTAAAGTAAGAGATTAAGAGTGATTTGTGTTGATCTAGTGAATAGAAAAAGTATCTTACAAAATGGGATTGAAGGAGTATATATTAAGTGCTCAGGTTGTCCATGTTTCAATAAAAGATTTTGCAGCTACCACGACACCTGCTCTTTTAAGGGGAACTCCAGACTGAGTGACTCGAAATGCTGCCAAGATATCAGTTAGAAAAGTTTATTAATCATATATAGACTTTAGGAGAAAGGGCTTAGGGTCACCGGTGGGCGTAGCTCAACTGGTAGCGAGAGAGTGCCACAAAGGTTAGGTCTCGGGTTCAAATCCCGGCAACTGCGATGAGAGGTTACTATGCTAAAAATGCATAGGACTTCTGCAAATACCGGGGACAGAGCCCCACTCTCTATCTGTCAGATTGTGATTATAGTACAATTTACATCCTCCCATCGTGTCATCCGGTCGATATTGGGGGGCCCTCAAGGATGTTGTGTCATCCTTTTTTGAGAAAGGACTTAGGATCAACCTAACCATCGAGACAGAGGCGGACCCACTAAGGGTCCCACGGGGTCCCGGGACCCCGTCGACTTCGAAAAAATTACCTATATATTATATATATTTTATACTCCCTCCGGTTCTAAATAAACTTCACACTTTCCTTTTTGGGACGGTCCAAAATAAACTTCACACTTCCTTATTTCCTTATTTGGCAAAGAAATCTACATCAAAACAGCGTTAAACAATGCTAAACAGTGCCAAACAGTGTCTCAACAGTGCCAAACAGTGCCAAACAGTGCCAAACAATGTCTCAACAGTGTATTCTACAGTAAAGTCAACTTTATTTTCGTAATAACTGTGAAGTCAAACACTGAAGTTTAAAAAGAACCGGAGGGAGTATAAATTAATTGGGAAATGTATATATAAAATGAAAACGACCCTGGAAGCAAGAGGCTGTCTTAGTAGAATGGAGAATGCATTTGTATGTTTTAGGCTGTCTATTTCATTTGAGGTCCCATGTTCGATCCCCCTAGCTACGGAGTACATCTTTTGTTTTTTAAGCCAAAAATGACGTGGTTTTGGCACTTTTTTTTAATCCCTTAATCATGTGAATTTTGTACATGAATATAAGAATATTAGTATTGGTGTATCATTTCTAGTACAATATATTTTGTATAGAAAGATTTACATTTTTAATCTCATAACTTTCGGCTATGACCGTTGCTATTATATTTTATAGTAAAATAACTATCTTGTTATTTTGATCTTGTGAATTAGAAGTTGTACACTAGAAAGTACACTTTATGACTAAAAATTCGACACCGGCATCATAATTTCGGTAATTTTTGTCCACCCTAAGTTATACGTAGTATTTTTCTACATGTGTTATATTGTTGCCCTCCCTTGCACTTAGGGGTGTGCACCGGTCCAAAACCGGACCGGACCGGACCGGAACCGGTTAGGACCGGAACCGGAATCATCATTTTCTATGGACCGAAGACCGGACCTGAATCTAACCGGTCCGGACCGGTCCGGACCTGAATTTTCCGGTCCGGTCCAGGTTTGACCCTAATTGACCCGGTTTTAAAAAAAGACATACGGAGTATTATCTTAGAGTGTTCTTTGCCGACCCCAAATTTTTTAGGAATAAGACTTGAATGTTGTTGTTGTTTCAAACTATAATTTTATATGCGGATATGCTAAATAGACTAAATAATTGTTTAGTTCATTTATTAATTTTGGAATATAGTCATCAAATTAAAACTATTCAATCGTAACAATTAGTATCCCACAAATCCCCACAATAATTAAAACTACAATCTTTTGTGTATTAAATTTGCAAAATTTATTGTGGGGTAATAAAAACTAAATTACATCCAAAAATATACTACATATAAACTACATACACACCTGCAAATAAAGAAACAAATAAAAAGCGATTTGGAAAAATCAAACAAATTTAAACTACGATCAATAAAAAACTTAGGACCTGCTACATAAAAAAAATTATAAACAACTTAGGAAATAATTAGACACCAAATACACACTCCGTATATATTCGTTTATATAACAAAAGGCAAAAATAAGGCATAAACATAGTAGTAAGCCAAATATAAATTGACTAATGATTCAAAATGAAGTATATATTTTATGGAACAATAGGTTACCGGTCTATTCCGGTCCGGACCTGTTTTTTCCAGGTTTGACCCGGAACGGACCGGAAACCCGGAATCTTGAAAAACTAAGGACCGAAACCCGGACCGGTTAATACCGGTCCGGTCCGGATCGGGTCATTCCGGTCCGGTTCAGGTCTAAAATACGGTCCGACCCGGTTAATGCACAGCCCTACTTGCACTCAAGTCTGGCTCCGTCCTTGTACACAAGGGTGGGGACCCCATGGCTCCGACTTTCTGGGTCCGCCATTGCATCGAGATATATAGTGGGGCCTAAAAGATGGAACACCACGATGGATAAATTGGATGTAGTAATGCTTTGAATAGTGCAGTATTGAATACTGGTATTAATATCATTAAAGGAACGTTCTGTACTTCTGTTGTCATTTCTTGATATACATTCTCTATTTTAGGTAATAATTCTTTCAATATACTCCGTATTAGGAATTCAATGGGACACGCCCCTTTAACTCAATTGTAAAGTAACACCGTGATATTTTTCAACAAACGGAATGAAATTGCACAATCCAAATCAAATGCAATTTTTCTATATAAACTATTTTAGCGGTTTCCATATATTCCGTACAAATCTTGTCATTGTCATGATAGTAATTCTTTTTTTAGTGCTATTTTAAAGTATAAATCGAGAAGCACAATCTGACAATCCCATAAAAAGTAATGAGTTATGTAATACCGTAGATATTTATGCCCTCCTTTACTAATATGGGCGCTCGAAGTGAATGTTACGTATGGTGAAGTGCACCATATTTTCTATATCACTCATTTAATTTACTATTCTTTTATTATGATAAGGAGTGCTCTTATTATAACCACTGCAATATAACTACTACGTATATTATACAAAAAAACTGTATTATTTGAAAGGACAAATAGTAATTTTAGTAACTAATATTACTATTAAAGCAAAAATAATACGTACTATGTATATTATACAAATAACTGTATTATTTGAAAGGACAAATAGTAATTTTAGTAACTAATATTACTATTAAATCAAAAATAATACACCTCCGTATTTTTTTGTTTGCAACAATAAGTGTTGGCACATTTTTTAAGAGTGAAATAGTAGCAATAACGAATAGTGTAGAAAAAGTAGGAGAGATGATAGAAAAGTATGAATGAGAAGATAAAACGTAGAAAATGTAAAAGTAGTTGAATATTTTTAAAGAAAAACTTACCAAAAAAGGAAAATGTAGCAAATTTTTGAATACATTCAAAAAAGAAAGTGTAGCAAACAAAAAATGGCGAGGGAATATTTATTCCTAAGAACAGCTAGCTACGATAGTACATTATAGTATCACTGATATTAATGTGATAGTATTAGTACAATAAGGATAACAAAAATCAAGACCCTTGTTTATATCGTGGAGTGGCCGATTCAAGAGCGGGAACCAGACTTTTGGGCTATGTATTCCCAATTCCCATTGACAATTAGTAGGTTTGTATCAAGACAAAGGCCTGTTAAATTAACATTTGGATTATTATAAAGCTAAACTGGACAAATTGTGAGAAGCACGAGTATTTATAAAATGTCGCATATACCATATAAATAAAAGAATCAAAAAACAAAGAATGAATAAATAACTATATGGTGTTCCCTTCCCTTTGAGATTTTTCCGGCTATCCGTATTCCTTCCAAAATTGTCAATCAGATATGCCTCTGATCTTTCTCTGAACAAGTGACTCCCTCTTATTAAAGAAGTTCCATTGCAAATGTGCAGCATTTTATTCACTAGCTTGCTTTGCGCCAACCACAAAGAACTCCGTGATCACTTCAAGCGGCATTCCCTTTGTTTCTGGAACTTTCAAGTAAACAAAAACCCATGCAATCGCACACACAATAGTGTAGATGCCAAAGACTCCACGGAGACCGACGGAAGAGAGCATTAATGGGAGGGAGTAAGTGACAATTATATCTCCAATCCAAAATGTAAGAGCACATATAGCAATGCATTGGCCACGGACACGTGTGGGAAATATCTCGGCGCACAGGATGTTGGGGATTGGGCCAAAGCCCATGACGAAACAGCACAGGTAGATCACAACACTAATCGTGGATATGACTGCATTGATTACTTGAGACATATGGATTATATTCCCCAGGACTAGAGTGACAAGTGAAGTTAGCAGGACTGGCAATGTATAGAGTAAAAGCCACCTGCAATATAAAATACATAATAATTTAGTAAAGTATTAGTCATTTAAAGAAAATATTTAACCGAGAACATATTTGGTCAAATAAAATAGAAATATTACCTCCTGCCTGCTATATCCATCAGTCTCATCGCAATACCTATTGCGGGAAGCATCAACAAAGTTGTGGCAGCACTTATGAGGATAGATGCTGAGTCTGATCCCAGCCCTAACTTTGAAAGCAGAAGTCCTACTCCAGCTTGTTTAAGTATTTGAGGAGTATAGTAGAGAACTCCATTAATCCCAGAAAACTGGCATTGAAAAGAATAAAATTTAGTTATACATATAACCATGTTTCATATAAATATATATGGATTTTGATTCCAATAAAAAATCATTTCCATGAAACATGATATCCCATTTAGCCATTCATTCATACTAATGGAGGGATGAGGTAAATTTTTTAAAACCACAAACATGGTGGCACAATTGTCAATGTGTAAAACTTTTAATAAAAATGTGAAAACAAAATGTGCATGTTTGTATGCAAAAAATGCACTTTTACATTACAAAAGTGCACCCATGTCTGCTGAAAAAGTGCAATTCTAGTTTCATAACTGCACTCTCTTATAACACTTTGTATAATTATCTATTGCACATTAAAGTTCTACGTAATAACGATTCTGCCCCCACATGTTTTAATGAAAAATTGATAATGTACTAGATCCACGAGAAGACTAAATTCCACTCTAGCCTTCCCTTGCACAAAATAGAAGACAATTAGACTTGAGCATGGAAATGTAAAATACTCATATTGAATTTAATCAACGTAATATTAATATGTTCAGTCATGGAAGCATAAGGTAAAGGTAAAGCATTAATTCACCATAATAGCATCTTTTCCATATTAACAAACTCCAACAAGAAATGCTTTTATTAGCACTACACTATTTTGTATAGTGTGTGTACCTGTTGAAGTATTTGAAGCCCAACTCCAACAATAAGTGCATGCTTCACTCCTGGCTCAAAGAGATCATTCCAGGCTGATCCTTTATTTGCAATCTTGGATTTTGTCTCCATGGCTTCTTCAATAGGTTTTTGGCCCATAATGTCTTCTGTCCCAAGAATAGACCGACTTACTAGAGCAGCAGCTTGAATAAATTCACCTTCTGCAGGATTATCACAACCAGGAAGGGAGATGATAGATCCACGTCGTGATCCAGGACCACCTTCTTGATGCAAATAGATTCTTTTCATTGCTCCTTCCTTCCTATCGTCTTTTTTATAGGCCAACTGCCAACCCCCACCAATACCAATGCCGCTTACTTCCTCGCTTCCTTGCATGATGAGAGTACTCCCTTGTCTGGTTTCCATATCCTTTCCGGCATTTGTGCCTTGACGTGAGAGAAATGGGCTCCTTAGATTGTTGTCATCCGATTCGTGGCCAGAATCGTTGTCGAATATGTGATTCTCCTCCCCTGCATTCTCCTCATCCCATTGTTCATTCTTATTCTCGGCCACATTGAACATGCTGCCGAAGTTGGAAAAGAGCATGCTTCGCATGCTTCCGGTGGGATCTTGAAGTTTTTCATGTACGCTGCCAAAGAGAGTGACCATGGGGTCCATAAAAGACCCTTGAACAGCTGTTGCCGCCATACTTCCACGTCGGGAAACCAGACCAAGAGTACTTTGACCAGTGACTGGTTTAGCTATCCATGAAAGGCCCTCTTCAGCACCATATAACTTTATAGTCTCCTGGTTCTTGTTGTCTGAAGCATGCTCTTGGGTATCAGCAAGATCATTATCTGGTCCAATTATGTACTCCTCTATTGATATATCACCACCAACATCTAAACCTTCCATCAGCAAGGCCATTTCACCTGCATATTGAAAAAATGGGGCCATTTTAGTAATGGTCCATTACCTATGCAAGCTCAATTTAAAATTGACAAACAAACAAACTCGCTACATTAACTTTGGCCCTCGAGTATGCAGTTTGGATCTATTTTTGTCGTCCTGCATATTTGGTTCTAATCTTCGTCCTCAACTATACAATTTAGACCACATAGTCTTCATATGATATTTGGCTCTTAAAAACTGGGTTTTTCATTAAGTTACTATACCTAGGCATAATTTGGAACTCAGTTTGATATCCACGATCTAGTTTGAGCCAAATTTACTCATACCCTTCATGATTAGAGTCAAAACATCTGAGGATTGGTTTGTTAGGATTAAATTAAGTACAAAAGAAAGTTAATGGTCACATAGAGTAATTGTATATAATTGAGGAATAGAATCAGGTATTACAGAGAAACTCTTTTGGTAATACAAGTATAAAACTATATGATGAACTGCAATCACCTTTCTTTTCACTAATAGAATTTCTTAATGTTTCTAGTAATTCAACGATGGGGAGTTGAAGGGAGATCCAACACTTGAACCCTCAGCATATATCTATATGTGAGGTCAATATCCATATGGAGGAAGAATCGATATCAAATCTCATAAAATAAACTTCACTATTCTAAGTTTAGATTTAACCCCAATTTTTTTGGGACAAGGCTTTGGATGTCGAACTTTGAATTTGAAATCCTTGTGAAATTTCATGATAAAGTATACATTGTTTAGATATAATAAATGTCAAGTTACTCAAGTCTATATATGAACTTAAGCTTTGAACTTGATTCATTTTGAACAAAACTTATCTCATACGGACCATTTAGTAGTCGGTTTATGTGGTCATAAAAACTAATAGCAGGAGCAGAAACACATACTATTGAATGCAGAAGTTTTTATTTAGTCGCTGGTAGGTGTAAGCAAAAAAAAATGAACACAAACCTGATACATCTTCCCTTCCACGCAATTTCCGCAGAACTTTCTTAGCTTCTTTCATCTTTCCTTTACTGACAAGCCACCTGGGTGACTCAGGCAAGTAGAGAATTGTCAAAAGGAAGTAAAGAAGAGAAGGAATTGAAAGAACTCCAAGCATTAGCCTCCAACTAGGCAAATCTTTCAGTGACATCCCAAAAACCATGCAGTACGACAAAAACATTCCGACACTGCCAGTGAACTGGGGGAAAGTATTCAAAAATCCTCTGATATCTGGAGGAGCTGTTTCAGATATATACACAGGAACAAGAGTTACGGCAAGACCAACTCCAAACCCATCCAACAGCCTTGCCAAAAGCAACACATAAACATTTGGGGCCCAGAGCATCACCAAACCACTGAGGAAATAGAGGACAGATGAGATTATGAGCATTGGACGCCTTCCCAGGGAATCAGAAACAGGCCCAGAGAATGTTGTGATAAAGGTTGCTCCGATTAATGACATCGCCACAATTAACCCTTCTATAGTTGGTTGTGTTTCCAAATTGAATTCCTTTTTTATGTAAAGCACTGATCCTGAAATATTTTAAGCCATCCACCATCAGATATTATAAACATACAATGGAACATACAAGACCTCTAAATAGCATGAAATTTAAGTCTCAACAAAACATGCCGAAAAATCTTCTTTCATTATGTAGTAAAAAAACACTCTGGAGTCAACACATATAAGTTCTTTAGGAAATATTTCTGACACAGTATCAACCCATATATATACAAGTAACAAATAATATCAATGCATCATATGTGGAAGTCTCAAATAGACCTGCTATTGTTGCATTGTCCCATCCTTGCAATAGGTTACCAATGGCAGCAACAAGGGCAACAAGCACAGCGCCCCCCATCCTTGATGAATTGGTTATTATCACGGAATACCTTTAATGCAGTCAGTGTAAACAATATCCAATCTCTGTAAATTGAAGCGCGCAGAAAAGCAATACACATGAGAACAAAACGCTTTTAAATTTATTATTTGTATTAATATATGGTAGCAAATTGAATGATGAGATTTGTTTCAACTATAAGTTAAAAAGATAGATTACAATTTGACAATTTTTTTAACTAAAAAGGAATGACTTTTTCATTAAATGCTACGAACATGAAATGTGATGTAGAGTGCCTATTACAATAATTACATCCATAAACTGTTCTTGGCTATTACAATGCCAACAAAAATTGAAAGCAATCCAAGAATAGCTCCTTGCCTAGAAAGGGCATATTCAGACCAAGTCAACGACTCTATGATCTGGATTAGCACCAATCCAAACTGCTCATTTAAAGCCCCTAGTGTCCCTCTATTGTCAATAATAAAATCTGCCTTTTCCCTCTTTATATCCAGAAACATCTGAGAATTTATCCTACTTTGGGCCTCTTCCTCTGTTGACTGGTCCCTTGTCAGGAGTCGCTAAAGTTGTGTCTCTGGATCAACCCAAACGACAACTATAGGCTTAGTCCATTTATCCATCTTAGCTTCAAATAAAAGGGGCACATCAAGAACAATCATCTTGCAACCCTTGATCCAAAACTTCAAGACTTCCATAAAGATACCAGAGGAAATATAAGGTGCCAACAGCCTATTAAGAAGCTGACGCTTTGCGGGATTAGAAAACACAATTTGACCTAGCTCGGCAGATCCACCTCACCATTGTCCTGTAAGATGTCCCCCCCCCCCCCCCCCCCCGAACATAGCCACAACTCTTTTCCATCCACCAGTGCCTTTCTTCAAAAGATTGGAGACAGTGCTCTTCCCAGACGCAATTCCTCCCGTTAATCCGACTATCCTCATGACTAAGTTGTAGGACAATCAGGGATGTATAGATTTAATTTGAAGTATTATTGAGTATTATATACTTATATATATCTAAAAAATAGAATTCTGACACCTCTGAATAAACACAAGTATGACTTGCAATTCCATATAGTGATTCACTTGACTGATTTAGGCTTGCTATCAAGAATTCCACAACAATATTTACTCCCTCCGTCCCTAAAAGAACTTCCAACTTTCCCTTTTCGTCCGTCCCAAAAAGAACTTCACTTTCCCTTGGCAAACAATTTGTGGTTCACAACAATTCTTACACATTTCCCTCTCCTCTGCACAACTCTCCACCAAACAAAGCTCACTTTCTTAATCTGTGTGTCATTTGTACTATAGAAGAACATTTAGGGACGGAGGGAGTAATACTTATGTTACTTGCTGAATCAAGTATATCTCATTAACAACTATAGGATCTCACGGGATACCTTACCAATGCACATTCAGGTCACAAAAGAAGACTTGAGGATTTAAATTTATTCTTAAGGCATGTTTGGTAGGCATAAGTCACTAACCTCTAGCCTCTTTACTTTTTAAGTCTTTAAAAGCTTATAGTGTATGTTTGGCATGCCCAGTTTTAAGAGCTTTTTTAAAAATAAAGTATCTTTTTTGAGATGCTACAATGGAGCAGCATCTAAGAATCTATAGCTTTAGACATTAATTAGTCATTTAGTCCTAACAGCTGGTATAACAAACATAACTAAATCAAAACAACTACTACTCTTTCTTTTTAATATGTTTTTAGTTGTTAAAAGCTAAAACATACCCTTAACCTTTTATAAATTAAGACCATGCAAAGTTTGCAAACTAGTGGAATGAAGCTTATAGGGCAGACTAAGTGATAAAAAACATTATACCCATAGTATTTTACAATTGCATCTGTCAACTATTATCTTGGTTGAAGCGATCAATGACATTTGCAACAGTTTCAAATAATTCGTTCGCTAAAACAAATAAGACAGTGACCAGAACTAATCACCGTTTCAATTAGGCATTTTTGTCTTCACATTTATCAAGTGCCATGGTGAGCTAAATTAGCTAGAAAGGTTTGCTCCTTAATTATAGAAAAATGATACTCAGTATAAAGTATCTATTTTTTTATCAATAGTTATGGACTTCTGGTAAAACAGTTAATTTAGTTGAAATTCATTTATAGTGAAGATGATGTAAAGAGAACAACAGTCTGTTTGAGTGAGATGAGGATCGAAAAACATTACATTTAGGGAGTTCGATATTGTTTTGATTTTAACTAGGTATTAGTTGGTTACTATTGCTCTTAATTACAGGCAAATCAGTTTTTAAAAATAAAAGATAGTTAGTTCACGTATGTAAAGTAAGAGCAGGATGTTAAGGAATAACAATGTATTTGAGTATCGAGTTGAAGTCAAACACAGTAACCCAAAATTGTTGCTTATAACAATTAAAAACGAATAAATAAAAACTTTTAATCTAATGATTTTCATAGAGATAAGGAAAAACAGGAAACATATTTTCTTAAAAAAATTAAAACGTAACTTTAAGACCGACAAGGTGTTAGTGAATAAAAATCCTCGCTGGATATCATCAAGGAAAAATGGGAGAGAAATCAGTACCAGAAATTTTTCGTTTTAGGATAGATTGGTATGAAACATAAACATGCACTTAACGAATAAATTCATACGAAAACCTACCGATCGGGAGATTTCGCTGCTGAACCGATGGAAGATCTTCGTTACTTTAGGTCTTTCGGTTGTAGATCGACTAACGTTATTCAATAGTAGATGAGATATGTTTATCTAATTAGCCATGAAGAGGCTGGCGGGGTATCCATGGAAGCGGGAATAAAATTTCTGCCGGTGTGGGATTGAAGAAGGTGGCAATAGTAAATAGAAAGAATTGATATCACAGAGGGAGTGGCAGATCGGTTTATTTATACGTTGGGTTATTTGTTGGGCCATAGAGTGGGTCAAAATGGACTGAACAGAATTATGCACAATCCCAGAGAATACCAGTTCCTATATCACGATCCCATGGTGAGCACCACGTTCCATTACGCATCAACAGTACACACGTGAATATAAATTATTTTTTTAAGATTACGTAGTTTTGCACAATTTTTTATAAAAAAAAATCGCATGAACAGTACACACATGAACATTAATTATTTTTTTATTTTTGTCTCAATAGCATGAATGATGTAACTCGCGTGTAATGATATGTATGTACTCACGTTATTAATCAATGTAACTCAAGTTCAGTCAAAATGTAACTTGTCAAATATATAGTATATGAAATACAACATTGATTTCAATGTAAACAACAACAAAAAAGTCTAATTGCACAATCACTTTACGTAAACCGTGAATATGTTTTTTTTGTGTCGTGACCTTCAAAAGGATTTAAAAAAAAAACATTTTTTGTTTCAATAGCAAGAGTTGATTTTTTATGTAATTCATGTTATTACAAATGTAACTCGTGTTGGTGGCAAATGAAACTTAGGTGTATATAAAATGTAACTTGTTGAGTCAAGTCCAAATGTAACTCGCATTTCAGAAGATGTAACTCACTTATAAAAAGATGTAATTCACGCATAATTAGATGTAATTGGCGCATAAAAATATGCAACTCACGCATAAGAAGATGTAACTTTGTGTAGTATCAATTATAACTTTGCGATTATATAAATGTAACTCACACGTATGAAAATGTAATCGCACACATGAAAATGTAATCACCTGTTCTATCATACGTAATAAATATAAATAAACAAACTTAATATCTTAAAAAACACTACAAACATAGAAAAGAGATAAGGAATTGTTTTACAAAATATATTATAAAAAAAGTAATAGTAATCATATTTTTAATATTTCAATAATGGAGTTGAAGATATCGGAAAAGAAAAGGAAGCTAAGGAAAAAAAAATAGAAAGAGAATCAGATAAAAAAGCAGGGCAAGAAAAAAGGAAGGGGAAGAAGGGGAAAAAAGTTAGTGTGTGGAAGCATGGGAAAAATAAAAAAAATGGGGAAGGAAGCCTTGTGTCAGTTGCGTGGGAATGGTGGGAAAGAAATAGGCGGTGATGGACCGAAGGAGAGAAAGTATATAAGTGCATTGTTTTTAATTACAGAAACGATATCGTATTGGGATCGGTACATCATGTACATGTACATGTTTTCAGGGGCGTAGTGTTAGCACGTTAGTAATTAAGGGCTAGGCCCACTTTGTATTTATTTTGTATTTAATTGTATACTTGTGTTTTGGGCTAAGGGCTCAAGAGATACACACTCTCTTGTATATGTACTCCTTCGTTGATAATCAATAGAAGATAGCTTGATACCCAATATTATTTCCATACGTATTACCATCGTTTCTAGCATTACGCTATCATTTTCAGCACGTAGCCAGGACGGATGTTTATCCTGGGCCAACTATACACTAAAATTCTAAAAACATTATATAAATTTTTTAAAATCGACAATAGTGTGAGCATAATGATTAAAGTCCATTAAAGTTCATATTAATATTTTTAAACAATACATACAATGTTTGAAACTATACGCCTTATGTGTTGTTGGAGAGTATTCCAACCAATTAAATTCATTGAACCAAGTGGCTTGAAAACGACGTATCCTATTTTTGTAAAGTCAGCCTTTGTAAAAGTTCAATTTTGATTTATAAGGTCCAAGCATCAAATAATTAAGATCGTTAATTTCATCTCTTTTCTGTAACGGCCAATCACTTAATGTTTTTCATTTTCACGGATCCCGCTCGATTTTAAGTGCATCAAAAACTACTTCCTCTTGATTAGATGAGATATTAGGAATTTCAATTGAGACATTTAAATCTTATTTACTTTGTGTGCTTGTACTAGGCTTATAAAATGAACGCAATGTGTTTTTTGCCTTTTGGGAAGTAGAGTGAGTAGCCATACTCATGTTTTATTAAAAAAAAAATGTCCCAAACTTGCATCCAAGATTCCAATATCTATCCTTTGTATTCCTAAATTTGGATCCATTAAAATCCACAAGGTTCGAATCTGAATTCGAGTCTATAGTTCGAAAGACTTTCGTAGTTAGTTTTCATTCAAATACTAATTTCATTTATATTTGTGCAAGACAAAGGAAACTTGTTACTTGTCAATGTTATCAAAATTGTTACATATTCATCCTTTCCAAAAACACTTTAGAAATGACTATCTCCTAATCAATTGTAATAATTCTACTCTATGCATTACTAAGGGGTGTTTGGAACTAGATATGCTTCTGCTTCTTTTTTAAAGCAGAAACAGAATCAGAATCAATTTTTCAGAAGTTGGTACCTCCCAGCTTTTAAAAAAACTGATTCTGATAGTAAATTAGACTATCAGAAGTGCTTCTGAAATTTCATCCAAACACTCAAGTTTCTGCTCCTTGAAGGAGCAAAATCAGTTTAGAATCAGATCCAAACAACCCTTAAAAAACTTCTAAATTCAACGATTACAAATGAAAATTATACTATCCTCCGTCTCTTTTTAATCGCAACATGTTGAATTTTACACTATTCACATGTTCTACTTTGACTACATTTTATATTATTATTTTATGAAAATTATTTTTTTAAAATCATATTGTTCAATTCATCTCATTACAAATTTCCAAAATCTAATTTTTAAATATTTTTTACTAATAGGGATTAAGATATAATTACGGTCAAAGATGTGTGTTGATAAGTGTGAAATGTTGACCGTTGTAATTTAAAAAGAACGCAGGAAATAGTTATTATACTGACATACTACTGTAAAATCAGATTCTTTGTAATGTTGAATCGCAGTGATAGATGCGGACCATGCGGTGATGCCCGTCTTTTCCTTACATTACTTTAGAGGTTGGACTGTTTTAACCAATTACACTGGGCCGGTTTTATTTTGCACTGGGCCAGTTTCTAAAAAACAAATTAAACTATATATATAATATTAAAAAAAAATTGCCCTGCATGGTGTGCATGCTGTGCCCACCCCCTCCCTCCGGCCTTGCATGGTGTGCCCATCCCGCGAAATAATTTGCCCAAACATACTACTCCATATTTAGAGTCATTGAATAAGATTTAAGCAAACGAGAATTGTTCCATAATAAATAGGGAAATTATGCACAATCCCAAAAATACTATTTAGAGTCATTGAATAAGAACTAAATAGATAAAACTTGATTGAGGTTTCTAAGTTAACCTTACAGTCCCTATTAGTATAATTCGCATAATATTCATATAAACGTATAATTCGCGTATAATATTTGTTTATAATTTGTTTCAAAAAATAAATAAAAAACCATATATTTTAAAGATAAATGTACTATATCATACGAATTTCTTTGAAAGTATATTGATAGTCCGTACTTTTTATCATAGGCTGTAAATAGTTTTAAATTCGCATAACTGTATTTTTCGCATAACTGTATTTTTCGCATAACTGTATTTTTCTACGGAGTAAATAGTTTTAAATTCACATTTTCTTTTCAAATATTCATATTTTCACATTTAGGTTTCACATTTTTTGGTAATGCATATTTACTACTCCATCGAAAAGAAGTTCTCTACTGCTTTGCATCATGATGTGCCTTGAGTTTCGAAACGTGTCTTACTAATTTACTATCTTAGCTTGCATTTAAAAAAATTTTCATCCCAAACTTAAGTACATAAATCTATTTACAATTCATAATTTGGCATTCACAGTCACCAATTTAACTATTGAAAATTGTTAGACATATTAATCACATAATATGTCACATACATACATACTATACACATGCATGGTACATGCGTACGTACCAAACTCCCCACCAAAGCCGCACACGCCTCTCCTGTAGCTTGTTATTATTATTAATGTGTACACTTATCCAGTAGTTTAGTTGTACTACGTTTCTTATACTTCGGAGTTTCATTAATTGTATGACCGATCAATAGTCATCGGATCCAATTGTACATAGACTATTTATAGTCGATTAATACATCACGATGCTTCACGGTGAACATTACATCTTCCAACTTGGTATCAGACTAATTTTTCGATCCTCTCCCATGGCTTCTTCTTCCAAAAGCTCTTTTCACCCCGCTCTTGCGGTCACCTCCATCAAAAATTTAATTCCCCTCATCCTTGACACCGAAAAAGTCCAGTATTCTTCTTGGGCGGAACTCTTTAAGATTACCGCCCGTGCATACGATGTTTTGGATCACATCATCCCTCCGACGAACAAACCCGCCCCTACTTCCGCCGGCAAGGGGGATGACACCGATGACGACTCCGACGATGCCACCGTCTCCGTCGACCCTCTTCTCTGGGATCGCTTGGACGCCGTTGTCCTCCAATGGATATATGGCACCATCTCCCAAGATCTCTTACTTACAATTCTTGAACCAGACTCTACGGCCATGGAAGCATGGACCCGATTGGCCAACATCTTTCAGGATAATAAGCACGCTCGTGCGGTGCACCTTGAGGACGAATTCTCTCACGTTCGTTTGGCCAATTTTGCCTCTATTTCAGCCTACTGCCAGCAACTCCGCACCATTGCCACCAATCTCGCCAACGTTGGTGCTCCGGTCGATCATAATCGGCTGATTTTGCGATTGGTCAACGGGCTCACCGCACCATTTGCCACGATTGCTTCCATGATCCAGCAAACGGTCCCCCTTCCGACGTTCGAAAACGCCCGCTCCATGCTTCTCCTGGAAGAAGGCCGGCAAGCACATAGCGTTGAGCATGAGTCAGTACCCTCCGCTTCGGCTCTTGCCGCCACCGTTCCGCCACCTGCACAGCCGCCTACTCCTGCTCCCCGCCCGCGCGGCGGCGGCCGCAACGGCACTGGCCGTGGTAGGGGTCGTGGACGCCAATCTGGTCCTCGTCCGTCTGACCAGTCCGCATGGCCGCAATACCCAGGTTCTCCATGGGCCTTCCCTCCTTGGGCCGCATGGATGCAGCAATTCTGGCCGACACCTCCATGCCCTTACCCTACTGCCCCTGGACATAATACTCCACCCAGGTCTTCTTCTGCCGGTCTTTTGGGTCCTCGTCCACATGCACTTACTGCCGGTTATGGATACCCAACAATCCCTACGGGTTCCACACCAAGTTTTATGCCCACAGATCTTCACACATCCATGCATACCATGTCTCTCAATCCCCCGGATGACAATTGGTACATGGACACCGGGGCAACTTCTCACATGACCTCGGACGCAGGTACTCTCTCGTCTTTTATTAATACGGGTCCTAAAGGCAGTATCGTAGTCGGTAATGGTTCATCCATTCCGGTGATGGGTCACGGTCACACCTACTTATCTTCTTCTTTTTCCCCCCTTGTGTTACGTCCGGTTTTGCATGCCCCTCATATTGTTAAAAATTTAATTTCCGTACGAAAATTCACTAATGATAACCAAGTGTCCATTGAATTTGACCCTTTTGGTTTTTCTGTGAAGGATCTTCGTACAGGAACCCCACTCCTCAGGTGTAACAGTCAAGGCGATTTGTACCCAGTGTGTCAGCCTCCCCGTCACACTTTCGCTGGTCTTTCATCCACTATATGGCATAACCGACTTGGTCATCCCGGCGCACCCATTTTTCGTAGTCTTAGTCAAAATAGTTTCATTGATTGTAATAAAGCATATGATGCTATTTGTCCTTCTTGTCAAATGGGGAAACATCATAAATTACCTTTTTCCCCATCATATTCTTATACACATGCTCCTTTTGATATTGTACACAGTGACTTGTGGACTTCACCCATTTTAAGTTCCACTGGTCACCGGTATTATATTTTGTTTCTTGATGACTTTACCAATTTTCTTTGGATTTATCCACTCTCTCACAAATCTGATGCATTCTCCAAATTTGTACATTTTAATACGTTTGTTCAAAATCAATTTGGACTATCTATTAAAACGTTACAATGTGATAATGGTCGTGAATATAATAACTCATTATTTCACACTTATTGCTCTAACTATGGCATCTCTTTTCGCTTCTCCTGCCCCTACACCTCCCCTCAAAATGGCAAAGCCGAACGAAAAATTCGTTACATTAATAATGTCACCCGCACACTTCTCCTTCATGCGTCAGTTCCACCAAAATTATGGCCTCATGCCGTCCTTATGGCCACTTATTTACACAATATTCTTCCATCCAAATCCCTCTCCTATACCTCACCCACACTCGCCTTATATCGCAAACAACCATCTTACTCTCACTTACGTATCTTTGGTTGTCTGTGTTATCCCCATATTCCCACCCCGCATAAACTTGCTGCCCGTACAATTCCATGTGTTTTCTTGGGCTTTCCGTCTCAACACAAGGGATATAAATGTCTTGACATAAACTCCGGCCGCATCTTTATATCTCGTCATGTTATATTTGACGAGTCCAAATTTCCGTTTCAACAACCCAATCCTCCACCTGCACCGTCATACGAGTTCCTACATGACTCACCCTCTCCCTTTATTATTTCTCACCTCACACCCATCTTATCCCACAGCCCCACATCTGACTTGCCCCATTCTCCTCACATTAAACATACGGCCCCCATATCACCTTTATCTCATCAACCTACTGCCCCAGCACAACCTGCTGCCAGTACATCCAATCTTCCAGCCCATCATACTACTCTTACCAACCATTCCACCCACCCAATGACAACCCGTAGCAAAGCCGGCATATTCCGTCCAAAGCCGACTTATAATCTCAATTCTCAACATACCAATTCCCCAATATCCTCCCCCCTACCCAAATCCCACGTTGATGCCCTCCGTGATCCCAATTGGAAATCGGCTATGATTTCCGAATTTACGGCTCTTATTAATAATAAGACGTGGGAGTTGGTTCCCCGTCCTTCTAATGCTAATGTTATTCGGTGCATGTGGCTATTTAAGCATAAATACAGGTCCGACGGGAGTCTTGAACGTCACAAAGCTCGCTTGGTCGTCAATGGCAAGTCCCAACGTCCGGGTATTGATTGTGATGACACCTTCAGCCCGGTAGTCAAACCGGCCACCATACGTACCGTACTCAGTATTGCTCTTTCCAACAATTGGCCACTTCATCAACTTGACGTAAACAATGCCTTCCTCCATGGCTTTCTTGATGAGACTGTTTATATGCATCAGCCGCCCGGGTTTAAAGACTCGTCACGGCCCTCCGATGTGTGTCTTCTTAAAAAATCTTTATATGGGTTAAAACAGGCTCCAAGGGCTTGGTATCATCGCTTCGCTTCTCATGCTACCAAATTGGGTTTTCATCACAGCAAAGTTGACCACTCCTTATTTATCTACCATCACAACGGCGCTACTGCATACCTTTTGCTCTATGTCGACGACATTGTTCTCACAGCTTCTTCCCCCACACTACTTCGCACACTCATTTCTCAGCTGGGTGCCGAGTTTTCCATTAAAGATTTGGGCTTACTCACTTTTTTTCTCGGCATTGCAGTCACTCGCCGCCCTGGATGTCTCCTTTTATCTCAACAAAAATACGCCACAGAAATCATCCACCGGGCAGGCATGTCATCGTGTAAACCCACATGCACACCAGTAGACACTAGCTCCAAACTGAGCGCCGATGACGGCCCACCAGTGGCGGACCCTACTCTTTACCGCAGCCTCGCCGGTGCACTCCAATACCTTACATTTACCCGTCCTGATATATCTTATGCCGTCCAACAAGTTTGCCTTCACATGCATGACCCCCGGGTTCCTCACTTTGATGCCCTAAAAGGCACGCTGGACTACGATCTTCACCTTCGTCCTACCACCACGGCCGGTTTGGTTGCATATAGTGACGCCGACTGGGGCGGTTGCCCCGACACCCGCCGGTCCACGTCTGGCTATTGTGTATTTATGGGTGACAACCTCATTTCATGGTCTTCCAAACGACAAACTACTATTTCCCGCTCTAGCGCCGAAGCCGAATACCGGGGTGTCGCCAATGTTGTGGCCGAGTTATGTTGGCTCCGGAATCTTCTGCTTGAGCTTCGTCACCCCATTTCCAAAGCATCACTCGTCTATTGCGACAACGTTAGTGCGATATATATGTCTCAGAATCCGGTCCAACATCAACGCACCAAACATATTGAAATGGACATCCATTTTGTTCGTGAACGTGTAGCTCTTGGTCATGTACGTGTTCTTCATGTTCCTTCTCGATTCCAATATGCTGACATATTCACCAAGGGCCTTCCACGTGTGTTGTTTGAAGAGTTTCGATCCAGTTTGAATGTTCAATCATCCCACGTTCAAACTGCCGGGGAGTGTTAGACATATTAATCACATAATATGTCACATACATACATACTATACACATGCATGGTACATGCGTACGTACCAAACTCCCCACCAAAGCCGCACACGCCTCTCCTGTAGCTTGTTATTATTATTAATGTGTACACTTATCCAGTAGTTTAGTTGTACTACGTTTCTTATACTTCGGAGTTTCATTAATTGTATGACCGATCAATAGTCATCGGATCCAATTGTACATAGACTATTTATAGTCGATTAATACATCACGATGCTTCACGATTAATACATCACGATGCTTCACGGTGAACATTACATCTTCCAACTAAAATAAATAAATTAAACTTTAAACTAATACAATCATGTATCATCATAAATTTATAACGATTCTACACACTTCATTTATAATCAATACAGTTTTATATTATTAAATACATTAGCATTAATATATATCGTTTCGTTATTCAACTAAACAATACATCATTAATGTATAAAATATAAAGATATTTTACTTACTATTCTTGACCGAAAGATAGAATTTATATAATTCATGTGTGTATAATTATCACTCTAAATCTATTAATTAATCTTTCGGTCAATAAATATAATAAAATGGTACATAAGGGATTGTAATTATGAAAAAGTCTCTTATACAAATGTATAGTAAATAACTAAATGTGCAAATTGGATATTTGAATAATACTATTTGTATTATGTAAGTTAGTAGGTGCACATGGTGATTTGGTGACCGAAAATAGAATTATCTTATATATCTACTTCATCAAATATGGAATTATCAATTCAACCGATATATGGGCTATATAAACTTTGTGGTGAACGAGTCCAATAGGTTTTCACTCAATTGGTTAGTTGGCTAATTAGTACTACGTACGTAATAGGGTGACCGTGGGACGGTACGGGACGGTTATTTCAAAAAACATGTCCCGTCCCAAGTTAAGGTTCTTTTAAAAATAAAAGAACCGGTACACTGTCCCATATGTATATAGAACATGTCCCGTTCCGTACCAATTTTTGGTCTGGTACGGTACGGTTCTTCGGTACTATTTGATTCCTAAATAATTAACTCCCACAATGTCAGTTTTTCCATGAATAAGTAACTATACAAAAATTGAAGAGAAGAGACTGCAAGATTAAAATCAACATAACTGAAATACAAAATGTATAGTAAAAACTATAATAAAAAGGGGTAACATTCAACTAAAAATCGAAAGTGCTAGCCAAACTGAAAAAACAAAAGATATGTCTTCACACGACAAATATAATATCATACTCCTTATTATAATATATAATATAACATTTGAGTCAAGCTCGGTTCTTTATAATGTCATATGGTTTTATATATAATATAATATACAGTTCTTTATTTTATGTAGTCATTTTTTCGGGACGATATGGGACGATTCGGGACAGTTTGGTTTGGTACGGTTTGGTACGGTTTGGTACGGTTCTGTGACGGTTCTCACTCAAGAACCGGTACAGTACCATATTATTAAAAAATTCTGTACAGTACGGTACGGTATTATATTTTCCGGTTTCGTGCAGTTCTGGTACGGTTTGGGATGGTTCTCGGTACGGAACGGGAAATCCCAGTTTCGTGCTCAGCCCTAGTACGTAATAACAAGTGGTAATATCCCGCTCAGGTAACCAAGCATTCCAGCCCAGCTGGTTGCGAGGTTACCGTGCCTAGTGGGAGGTCTCGAGTTCGATTCCCGCTAGGCACATAAGGGTTTGAAACTCAATGGGCTGAGTTTCAACCCTGATTACTCCAGGCTCCCCCAGCCCCCCTTCCCACTATGTTGCAACGATACTTCACCTCGATGCCGTATTCGCGTATCTGATACGTATCCGTATCCGATACTCACCGATACACGTCCTTTACGTATTGGGTCCGTATCCGTAATTTAATAAAAGTATCGGGCTTAATTTTGAAAATACCGATACTTCCGATACCCGTATCCGTGAACCGATATGTGTATCTGACCCTATAACCCCTCATTTGATACACGACATAACGAAAATTTAGTAGCCGCCCAAGTGACCACAACATGTGGAACATTGATAACGATGGTTTCGGGAGTATGGAAAATAATGGAATGCTATAATTTCTCATTTCATTGCTTGATGAGCTTTAATGAAACAAGACATAGATGTAAATGCAAATAGAGAACAAAAAAATGTTATTTGAATTTAAATCAAAATATTAGTACTTTTGTTTTTTAGTTTTTTTAGACTAATCTTTGAAATTTTATTATAATAGTTAATTTTTTGTACTATTATTATTATTATTATTTTATTTATGAACCCATGAATTATACGGAGTATATATTTGCAAATTATACCCTATATTTTTATTATTTATAAATATACCCCCGTACCCGTATCCTATAATTTTTGAAATTACTGTATTGCCGTACCCGTATTCGCGTATCCGCGTATCGGTGTATCCGTATCCCTGCAACATAGCCTTCCCAGACCCCCCTGGAGTAAAAAAAAAAAGACAAAAAAACATCCCGCTCAGGTCACTTTTGGTTAGCGCATTTCATTTATGTCAACATGTTATTTTCTTATCATCTTTAAACTTATCACTTTTCACTTTTAAACTTGTTATTTAAAAAATAATCCATCCATTAAATCTAAACCCAAAGTCTTACGTTCCCACAAAATGAAAAGTTGGGTTCATTATATTGATTTCACGATGGAGATGGAGCAGATGGTTGTGTTATTTACCGTCCCTCCATCGTCTCTCTCGGGCTCTAGGCTGTGTTGCGCTGGAACTCTTATGACTTTCTTGCTCCGATGAGCCATCGACGGAAGTAGCTTTGCCAATGTCATCGATACACATCTCATCAACTTCACTTGATTTGAAATTTGCTTATCATCCTGCAATGGCATCGGATAGTATCGATCGATCACTGTCCGGCTGGTCTCGGGTCCTCAAGACACTGAAATCATGGCTACTATAAGGGTTCACAATTCACATGGACGCAACAAGCATTCATGCTAATATGAGATGTTCGGCGGCCAAAGCTAAATCGGGAGTCCAGAGAGAAGTGAAAAACACTTCCATATATCATCGTCTGTGGTATTTAGTAAATCATTTTGATTGTTTTATAAAAGTTACATAGATGATTGTTGACGCCTATGAAAGTTATTTGAAAATTTTTCATATGAAAGCACATCTTTTTCTTATTTGCTTGTGTCATGTGTGGAATGCTAGTGAAAAAGATCGCGGAATTATGATCCTTCCCTTAGTGTTTGTGCTTTCTGCAAGTCAACAAATGCAACAAATGTAAGTTTTAATTAAATTCAAGTTGAACTTTCCTCTTCCTTTTAGTGTCAAGGGACATTGAATAATTATAATCATCTCCTAGAATTGATTACGTTTTCTTTTCTTTTCCTGATAAATTATGTAGGCTTCGATCTGGTCCAATTCTATTTTATAAAAAAAGGAAAGGAGCTGAGTTTGTAGATTATCTTCCCAATTCCCACAGGCGATGAAGCGACTGGCATGATTTCAAAACAGAATCCCCTTGGTTATGGATGTGCGCATTGTTTTAAAATTTACTTTAGATAAAAACATCAAGAAAATACATTTTTCGTGTGCATTTTGACGGAATTAATCTTAGTGACTGTATGAGTATGTTTGGCACAACTAGCTAAAAAGATACTTTTACGAGCTTTTTAGTAACTGTTAGCTTTTAGTGACTGAAAAGATCTTAAAAAGAAAATGTGATAGCTGTTTGGTAAAAAGCTGACTGTTTGATTTAGTTCGGTTTGGTATACAAGCTGTTAGGACTAATTTAAACTAAAAGTCATGAGCTTTTCTCAGATGCTACACTTGGTAGCATCTCAAAAAAGATCTTTTAATTTTTGAAAAGCTCTTGAAAATGTTATGACAAACATACAACTAGAGTCTTTTAAGGTCCTTTTAAAGAATAGAGAAGCTAGAAACTAGAGTCTTTTGTGGGCCAAACATAGGCTATATTTGAATACATCGAACACATGAGGTGTTCTTTTTTATTCATTAGTGAGATGTTTTGTGACTGTGTTATAATGAAAACTGAGCTCATGCCAATGTCCAACCTATTATGTGGCCACTTAATTTGTAATATCCACTCATTTCTGTACAGTATAAATCACATTTTGGATACTAACTTTGAGCAGGGAGTTAATTATAGTAGAAAGGTAGATATATGTGTTTGTTGTGTTCACAGTTCTCCATACCGACTCCTCATTTTGCGATGATGAAAAAGTGTTACTCCCTGTTTTTGGTTTGAAATTTTCTTGCCCATTACTCCCTCCATTCTTTTTTATTAGTCCTTCTTTCTTTTTTGGGACGTTTTTTTATTTGTCTCCTTTCCCTTTAAGGAAAGTTTTTGAGAAAATACCCCCATTTTTATTACTTTTACCCCACTTACTTTTTACAAACTACTTTCTCTTTCCTACTTTACCATCACTTTACTCTTCTTAATACACTCTCTTTCCTACTTTATCATCATTTTACTCTTTTTAATATACCATCTTTCCTACTTTATCATTTACCCTACACACTCTATACTTACCCTACTACTTTATTATTAAATCCCGTGCCAAACCCTAAGGGGACTAATATTAAAGAACGGAGGTAGTATAATTTTCTTTTTCATGATTAATTTGTCTTTATTCATTCTAGGATGTTGAAGTAGCTCTAAATGGGAACTTTGATGCAATGTTGGATATTATTTGTGTTCCAAATACTAAAGAATTGAGTAATTGAAATCAATGTTGTGAAGAGACACGGACACTATATGACATTGCAGGTAAAGGTAAATACTATTTGAATGCTTCCCCTCACTTGCTACTAATTTAACAAAATTATTCATTTCAATTGTTTTGTAAATCTTCCTATATTTAGTGAGAGGCTGTGTCGTCATTAGCTGAGAGAAACTAACTTTTCGCCATCCCATGATAATTGTTATCTTACTAAATAAACACATCCAATATTGATATTCTAGTGGAATTGATTCATAAAATTCTTTCTATATTGTTTGATCATTTTAGTGTGTTAAGCTAATATGGTATTATCAAGATATTAAGAAAAAATGCACGGGAAAAGAGTATGCATATTATTTGAACTTATATATGCTTTATTGTTTGACATGAACAGAATATTGGTAGACATACACAAGGATGGATACTAAAACTTATTCTCAGTTCACCTATGACTCATCAAAAATCGTGGATTGCTTAAGAAGTTTTTTTCAATTATGCTGAAGGTTTCCTGATTCACTGATTTCGACAATACAATGAAGATTATCTAGGAGAGTGAAGAGAAGATAGTCAACTTTGAAGAGTTGTGTGTTAAGATGAATACCAATTTATATGAAGGAAAGCTAAATTATGTAATAGATATATGTAATGTTTTAAAATATTAGATTGAATTACATAATTAGTGTGTTATTTTTAAATCATTGTTTTTTGTTTCTTTTCATTGTATTGAATGTGTTGCTTTTTGTAGCATCATGTTGTTTTCTGTTTCACCGTGTTGCTTTTTGTTGCAATGTGTTACTTATTTTGTTTTATTGTTGATCTTGATCTCTGTTGTTCATTTAGGTGTTTATTTATCTTTGAGCCTTCTTTAAAGTTAAAAAATTGTACATAGATTTATATTCAATCACCTAAATTAATAAATTTGGATTTGTGAATATAAACCAATCACGGGAAACATAAAGAAACACTAAAAAATCAGAGCTATAAACAAAATGAAACAAAGAGAAACAATGGACAATAAAAAGCAAACAAAACAAAAGTATATAATAAGAATTGTTTTAATTTGTACCTATATAAAAAATTCGAAAATTCATATTTTTGAATTATTTCAATTGTTCCAATGTTTAATTCTATTTTGAATTTATTTTCAGTTTGCAAACTCCAACAATTACTAGCCGGACTAGCCGCATAATTCCTCACTTCCAGTATACGGTGTTTATGTGCACGTACCCTATTTCTGAAACAAAAAGTTTAATCAATAAAATTTTAAAAAGAATTTCTAAATTGACAAGTGATACTACTTCCATTTTTTTGTCTATCTGCGAAAAACTCCCTAATAACAAAACACACTCCTACAACCAGGGGCAGACGGAGAGGGGGCTAAACAGGCCCAGCCTGCCCCAAAATTTAAAATTCTTTGTATTTCTAATTTAAAAATTTATGTGTATAAACTTAATTGAAAAACTCTTTATGTTGGCTTACCCCAAACTTCTTCTCGCTATGCCCCTGTCCACAACTTTGAAGTTTCAACTCGCCGCCTGTAGAAATTTTGGCACAAGATTTAGGATGTGTTTGAATCTGATTCTTAAAACTTCTTCTGCTCCCTTGAAGGAGCAGATGCAGAAGCTGAAGTGTTTGGGTGAAAGTGCATAAGTGATCCAGGTGCTGTAATCTACTCCTACAATCAGTTTTTTTTAGAAGCTAGAGATGACCAGCTTCTGAAAACTGATTTTGATTCTGCTTCTCCTTTAAAAAAGAAACAGAAACGGAATCAGTTCCAAACACCCCTTAAGGTATGTAAAAATAACTTGTTGCTGTTGTGTTTCACAAAACTATGAACCTTTTACTTAGTTTGGAAAAGAAAATGAATATGAAAAAAGGGTAATTGAATATTTTTAAAAGAAAAACTTACCAAAAAAGGAAAGCATAAAGAACTTTTAAATATATCCCAAAAAGGAAAATATATGGAACTTTTAATCAGTGTTCTAAAAGGCCCCGAAAGGCGCCGCCTAGGCCCGCCTATTCGTGAGGCGCAAGGGTAACGCCTCGCATTGCCCTTAGGCGTTGCAAAAGGCGTAAAAAATACTGTGACCTCCATTTTGGGCTCGCACAAGGCGTGGTCAACCAAACAAGGCTTTTGCTTTTACGACGCAGACTAGAAGGAGCAATTTATAAGCGTGTATGAAGTGGAATACTCCTTTCCCATCCGGTGTGGGAAAGTTGTATGCTTAAGAACGTAGTACAAAATATTTCTTTTCCCACCAAGTGCTCCGTGCCTCCGTATCAATCATTAGTCATTACTACTCCAATAGTCCAATATAATAATAATAATAATAATAATAATAATAATAATAATAATAATAATAATAATAATAATAATAATAATAATAATAATAATAATAATAATAATAATAATAATAATAATAATAATAATAATAATAATAATAATAATAATAATAATAATAATAATAATAATAATAATAATAATAATAATAATAATAATAATAATAATAATAATAATAATAATAATAATAATAATAATAATAATAATAATAATAATAATAATAATAATAATAATAATAATAATAATAATAATAATAATAATAATAATAATAATAATAATAATAATAATAATAATAATAATAATAATAATAATAATAATAATAATAATAATAATAATAATAATAATAATAATAATAATAATAATAATAATAATAATAATAATAATAATAATAATAATAATAATAATAATAATAATAATAATAATAATAATAATAATAATAATAATAATAATAATAATAATAATAATAATAATAATAATAATAATAATAATAATAATAATAATAATAATAATAATAATAATAATAATAATAATAATAATAATAATAATAATAATAATAATAATAATAATAATAATAATAATAATAATAATAATAATAATAATAATAATAATAATAATAATAATAATAATAATAATAATAATAATAATAATAATAATAATAATAATAATAATAATAATAATAATAATAATAATAATAATAATAATAATAATAATAATAATAATAATAATAATAATAATAATAATAATAATAATAATAATAATAATAATAATAATAATAATAATAATAATAATAATAATAATAATAATAATAATAATAATAATAATAATAATAATAATAATAATAATAATAATAATAATAATAATAATAATAATAATAATAATAATAATAATAATAATAATAATAAGTATTATTATCATTGATATACGTATTATTAAATGCGTAGTATATACTAGTAGTATAAAGTATTATACTCCGTATTGTATTATTGTTATATTATTATTATTATTATTATTATATTTTATTATTATCATTACCAATATCTTTCCATTATCAATTTTATTAAGAGATATTACCCGAAATAGGACTAAAAAGGTTTGAAAATTCCAAAATAGGACTGCCATGTTTTTATTCCCAAAATAGGACTAATTACTGTCATGTTTTGGCAGTACCAGACTTCAAACATGACAGTATTTTCCAAACTTGATAGTAATTACTCCTATTTTGGGAATAAAAAACATGTCAGTCCTATTTTGGAATTATCAAACTGTTTTAGTCCTATTTCGGGAACTTTCCCTTTTATTAAAGATTTTATCTCAGGCACTAGAGAATACTACTCCATATAATAAAACTATGGACAAAAAGTGTGACTAATAACGGTAAGTATATTTTTATGGTCAATAAAAAATTGTGATTTGATGGTATCACCATGACACTCTCAAGGAGGAGGTCACATGTTCAAAACTCATCTCAGTTAAAGATGTTGACATTTAACAGAACAGATACTATGAGAAAGGAGAAAGTGCAACAAATATAATGGTCACTAAAATATAAAATTAGAACCTATTATATTCTTTAAAAGTTACAGAACTACAATTTTGACCAATATCCTTATTTTAGTCATTTATTACTTATTATTTCTTTTTATTATTATTAATACTATCATTCAACGCATTTTTCTAGTTCTGTTTTTTTTGTGTCACTTGTAAATAAATTTGCAAGATATAGGGCTCGACGAGTCTTTTTTTGCTTGAAAATTTGAATAGCATGATGCTTTAAATAACGTTATTTAATATTCTATTTAAATATTTAAAAATAGTTCTAGGGAAATTAAAATAAAGGATAAAAACTCGAAACGCCTTTTCACGCCTCAACCCCGCCTAAGCCCGCCTAGGCTTCAAAGGCTTAAGGCTTCTTTGTGGCGCCTCGGCGCGCCTTACGCTTTTAGAACATTGCTTTTAATACGTTGGCACTTGGCATGTCCAATTCAATATGGACTAATTTCATAACAACCTTGTTATAGGTATCCCATTTTGTATCCCAATTTGTACCTCAACCTATTTGTGTGGCTCATAAAAGTCCATTTCAATAAATAAATTGCTCCACTTTAATGAGTTGCTTTTGTGAGTCACAAAAATAGGATGAGGTACAAATTGGGATACCTTTACCCTTTTTGATTTCATAATCTATTACTGCTCCGAAGTGAGAATGGGTCGTGCAAGTATTGATGATTGGCTTATATTGTGGTAGCTACTAGCTAGACCATGTTGCTACATGCCAATACTTTGTGCTCCTATTAGTACTCGATTAACCTATCTCGTAGATCTGGATTTTAAAGATTATATGGGTGTTTCTATTTGATAATGCTTCATTGCTTTGACTAATTGACTTCATTGCTTTGGAAGTACCATCAGAATCTATTTTTCAGAGATTAATGTTTCCTAACTTCTCAAAAATTGTTTTGATGAGCAATTTGGAGCGTCTAAAAGTATTTCTACATTTTCGTTAAAACATTTCAATATTTATTTCTGCTTCTTAAAATAACAAAAGCAGTTTGAAGAAAGAGATCCAAATACTGAATAATTAAATTTTCAAAGATCCCATTTTTTAATCAACAAATGTGCTACTTTATACCCTCCTATAATAAATGAACAATTAAGTCATCATGACCTATGAACGTAAATACGTAATTAGCATGCGCACAGGGCCGTCCTTGAGAAACGGGGACCCCGTGCAACAAAAAAAATTGGGCCTTTTTTCCATGATCGGGTGTATATTTTTTGGGAACATAATTATATCAAATACGAAGTACTATGTACCAAAACTACCAATAGTCGAAATTTTCTCCTAATCTTGTACGTGTTTAAGAATTTTTGTTAAAATTCAATTTACATTGTCGGTGAAATCATAAAACAATTATAATTTATAAACCTAAAGTTACTACTTGGTATTTACTAGTACTTAATAACATACTTATCCCAATTTCTTACTTAATAACATACTTATCCCAATTTCTTAAATCTTACTTGAATTATTGTTTTTTTGATCATTTACTTGAATTATTGTTAAACACGCTTATTCTCAATTCAATTACTCAATAAGTAATAAATTACTACAATAAATAGACAAAGAACGTACAACAAGGCAAGTAGGTATTTAGGCAAAAAACTAAAATCAAAGAATCAAATCAAAGAATCGAAGAAATGTGAAAATCACAGTGCTTAGTTGCTTGATCCACATACGTAAAAAGCGTTGAGTTCTTTCTTTATTACTACTACTACGTATTTTTTAGCTGGGCTCTTGAATTTCTACTAAATATTCGAATATATACTACAGGTTTTCTAAAAAATGTGGGCCTTAATTATTTGTAGGCCCAGTGCAGAAGCACTGCTTGCACAGCCTAGTAGACGGCCCTGCATGCGCACACTACAAAATAGTAGTGATTAGGCACCACTTTTGTCACTCATTATTTAAAAAAGGAGGTGAGAAAACATATTACTCACTAGCTTAGGAAGTGTTTGGGATTGCTTAAAAAAAGCGCTTTTCAGTTTTTGGCTTAAAGAAAGTTGAAAAGAGTGTTTTCAAATGACAGCTTCTGCTTAAATTAATCACTTAAAAGCTAAAAGCTGGAAGCAGATAGAATGGTGCTTTAAACTGTTTCTTACTTTTTCTATTACACAAAAAGTACTTATTTTACCAAACGCTACCAACTTTTACTTTTTCAGAATCACTTTTTTCTCAAACACCACCAACTTTTACTATTAATCACTTTTCCCATAATCACTTTAAAAAATCACTTTTTAAAGTTGAAGCAATTGCAAATACTCCCTTAGACACTCAAGGCAGGTAGTGCCTAATTCCCGGTGCCAAATTAGTCTGTCACCCACTACGTTGGTGAATAAGGATGTTTTTACTTGGACCGTAATTTGCTGGTCTGGTCTGGTTTCTTTGTATTTTTATAACTATCCAAGTTTAGTTTGGTCTGGTCTGGTCTGATCTGGGACAAATTACAGTCCGATCCTAACTTACTCACTCTATTTTTAGTGTGAAGATGGGTGACAAATTTCTTACCCGGTACATCTTCCGTAACCCGATAGCGCGCGTTCCAAACTTTATGCCCATTTTTTTAGTTTCATGAATTAAATTTAAATAAGGAAGCAAATAAAAACTAGTATTTATTAAACCAAATTTAATAAAACCAACATTATAATATTGTCCTAAACATTATTTAGTGCCTGTAAAAGGAACCGTGATTTATCATGATATCATTTTTTTTGCCCCGCTTATAACCAATATGCCTTTTTAATCATGTTTTAACTTTTTTACTCCTAAGTTTCTGTTTGTGATCAATATTATCTTTAAACATTTTTTTCAGTAGTGACAGTATAGTGTAACTTGTAATTACGTTTAATTCATCAATGGTACGTGAAATTATTAAATGTAAAATAAAATTACGAATATCATCATTTTATTAAAATTACAAGAGTTTTGTGGAGACACTTACCGAATTGAATATGATGCGAATCATGGAAGAATTTGTTCCTTAACTTTAGTTCACATTTCTTCTTCCTTAATCAGCTGCAAAATTGTTATCAACACGATTGGACCGTGTCATGCTAACATTTTTTTAATAAAAAGCTTAATCGTGCTTGGAGATGGAAGAAGGGAAAAATTGGAGTCAAGTAGAGATCACTCTTGTAAAAGTATAAGGATTCACCTAATATATATACACACAAAATTAAAATACCGTTTAAATCTATTATGAAAATTAAAATACGTTTAAATGATCCTAAATTTACGACCGGATTGCTTCGTCTAACAAAACTTCCGCACGATTGATATTGAATCGGTCATTTGACTTTTTATTTCATACGTTGTATGATGTTATTAATCTCGGTAGGATTTATGAATTTACATTTCATCTAAAAACGAGTGAAACAGTGGGATACTCTTCGCGTAACATAGGTATGGAAAAATGTTAAGCGGAATTTGACCACCAATGGCATTTTTTTTAATATTTTACTCAGTTGTGCAACTCCTTTCATAATATTTTGATACTAGCTACGTTTAACTATAGGTCTATATATTGGTGACATATTAACGTGAACGATTTTTTATAAAGTAATTGACCTAAGTAGGAATGTAGGATTAAAATATATGATTAATGCAAGAATAGGACTATAGGCTTTTTTTATTTCCAAAATAGGACTATTTTCTATTTTATTCCCACCCTACCCTTTCTTCTCACGCAGCAACGAATACATACGGACAAATATTTTTTTCATTCTCTCTCTTCTCTCTCCTTTCTTCTCTCTCCCTCTCTTTTCTCTTCACGCACCAAATCAGAAACCAGATCTGCTCCCAAGCTCTCTTCAAGCAATAGATCTGCTCCACGCCAAACTCATCTTCGATCTTTTACACCTCCTGTTCAATCATATCTCCTCCTCTCACATATCTCCAGATTTCAATACATATAAACTCATCCGTCTTCGACCGATTTTAGAGTATGAACAGTGGTTTTATCTGGAGCTTCGGCGGGCGACGGGCGGCGGGCGGCGGACGGCGAGCAACAAGCGGTGAGCGGCGGAGAATTCATAGGTAAGCTTCGACATTCCTACTCTTCTTCTTCATCTTCTTCTTATTCCTCTTCCTCTTTTCTCAATCTCCTTCTTCTTCATTGTTCTGCTTCTCCTCTATCTTTTTATTTACCAGATTTTTAATTTTTTATTTATTTCAAATTTTTTTAATTTTGTTTGATATTTATGTTTTTATGTTTTTTTTTTATTATTTTTGAAAACGAAAATGACATTATTATTATTATTATTATTATTATTATTATTATTTTCTTAAAAATATCATCTATTGGAAGTTAATGCCACCATTATTATTATTTATATCTTAATGACATTTTTATGGCATTAATTCCATGTTTTTTAACATGAATATGTCATTTTATTTCTGTCAAAATGGGAATAATGAACTTAAGATGCACTTAGATTTTTAATATTAGTCCTCTAAATCTGAAAATGCTGCTTCGAAAATGAATGTCATTTTTATGGAACTAACATTACAAAGATGGCAATAATACTTTTTATGAAAGACATTAGTGTCATGTTTTTCAAACTGAAAATGTCATTTTAATTTTGTCAGGGTGGCAATAGTGTCATTAATAAGATGACAATACAACTCCAAGATGGCACTTGTATAGTAATACTAGTTTCACGTCGCGCGTTGCGCGATAAAGATAATGCCCAATAATAATTTATTAATTTGGATAGGAAAATTAATATAGGTAATACGTAGTATGTAAATATGACATTTGTGATTGTCCAGGTAATATGATTTACACGTCTTGGGCTACCACATAAGTTGCATGTTTCTTAATTAACAATTTATTAAAGTCCCTGATATATAAAGAGAAATCAATGATTTACTCGCCCTTAAGTCTCCACTGCAACCATGTAATCTACCTATAAAAAATACCAGTAATATTTTAGAAAAACACCTTCATTAAAAAATACTACCCCCATCCCGCTAAGATTATCCCGTATCACCATTTCGGTTCGTCCCACTAAGATTGTCTCATACCAAATTTGGCAAAGTTTGTTTGGCTCTAAATCATTCTTACTTTATTCTTACTTTATCAATTCAATATCAACCACATAAACCACTTTTTATTAATTTGTGTGTCACTATCTCTTTTCCCATTGTTAGCGGGACGGAGGGAGCATTAAAGAATTTACAAAGTCCCGACCGATTTGCATTCTTCTAGATAGAACATAATTGTGTGAATAAAACAATCACAATAAGAAAAACTAAGTCTAGGAACACCCTCAACATCTAAGGCAATAGCACCCTCAACCATCTAAGGCAAAGTGTCAACATGAGTGTAAACATGCTTATTAATAAGCTCAAAACTGGTTTATATAAATAAGGCATCTACATTATTCCCTTACAGCCTAATGAGTAAAATTCTACTACCATTCTTGTTCAAAAAGCCCTTAATCTGTGTAATTAATCTTCTGCTCTTTCCCAGGAGGGGTTTGTCCCTTAACGTAGTAATAGTAATAAAGGGTGGCAAAGAATCTCAACGTCAATACACAAAGTATCGAGAAATATATATAAACCATGCTATAGCTTTGTACAATATAACACCAATATTAAATAAAGAGTATTAGTAGGAGAAAAGCAAAAGCTGCTATGAAATTGGCTTCAGTCCAAATAACTCCCAGTAAGACTTTTCATATTTAATTAGTTTCAACACATGCAGATTAGGGTTGGTCCAAATAACTCTTCTACTGTTACACATTATGGGGACAAACGTAATATGGAAGCAGCACATTCTCCTTAAGTTTATCTCGTAATTTATATAACAATGTCTCAATTTATGCTTCGTTTAAATTCTTTTTCCCAGAGAGGGGTGATATTTAAAGTACACTATTGTTTTTTTAAAAAAATAACAATGTAGTACGTAGTATATAAAGTGACGGATCATTCTGGTTCAACTTTTTTTTTTTTTGCAGTCTTAAAATCTTATTCCTACTTTCTTTGAAGAAAAAGATTGTTTTGATATTACTTTCATTTTTGCTATGTAAACCTTAGGCACACAATTTTACTTAATTAAATAGTGTGAAAAAAGACTGACAAGTTGAAGTGAGAATAAGTTATAGGGAAAATGAAGTACTTTTAGGTTTCTCTATATAAAAAATATGAACGAAGTATATTTTATTAATACCAATAAGTACAAGTGAATGGGCTATATTGTCAACAGCCTCGTGCCAACCCTCTTAAGAGTTTTCTACCTCAATGGGTACAAAAAAAGAACGTGTAAGGACCAAAACAAATAAGACATTATACAAATAAAACATAATTGAAAACAACAAGGATAACCCCCAAAGAAGGATTAAAAACCAGAACGATGTCAACTAAAAGAGGAGGAAGGTCACTCTTATTAGCTTCAGATATACAAGGATTAGGAAGCCAAAGGCTCCAATGCCTCCAAATATAAAACGGTAAGCGTTTTGAAATGTCTGAAATAACCACTCCCTTACCTTTCAGCTATAATTCTTATTTGACACAATCTTCTCCTATTCAAAATGTTTAAAGAAACGACTCAGTTCTTTTTTACCAACAATACTATCCTCAGGTTCATTACCTTCTCCAGAGGTGTTGCTAATTTTGATTCTTCCTTATTAGTTATACTTTTTATTCTCTTAACCAATAGAGTATTAATACAAAAACCACTTACATCATTGATAATCTGATTAACAGAAAGAAGACAATCATATTTCAACTCCATATCAAGATTAAAATGTCCCGGAATTGAAATCCCATAGTGAAGCTTTTAATTCATCAATTTCAACATTATTGGATATAGTCTTCGTACTCAAAGGAGCAACAATACCCCCTAGCTTTTCTGATAAGAGCAAAAATTCTAGTTAATTAGTGCTTGCTTAAATTTGCATCTACATGTAGTCTTAGGACATAATTAAAATTCATATCATGTTCTACATTGCTCTCATATAAGTAAATTAAACAGTATCGCTTCCCCAACATAATGAAAGGGCTAAAAAGAGAATGGTAGTGAAGGGGATCGTAATTGAAAATCTAAGTCGTTCACAGTGCATACTTAATCAAGATTAAATATAAATAAATAATCAGAGAAAGAAGACGAAATTTCTACACATTTAAATCACTGAAAGAAATCAGAACTAAACCTAATCTAAAATGACAATGAAAGTTTTGTACACATTTAACATTCAGAAGAAATTTCTACACGTTTAAAAAATTGCTTTACCAACAAAATTGTTTATAGCCTTTACTTAATCAAATTAATAAATAACTAAATAAAAATTAGTGCTCTTACATGAAGAACAACGAGGAGGAAAGACGAAAGAGCAGCTTCCAATCCGTAACGATGTTTTGATTGCACGCTAAGAACTATGCGTAAAAAGTAGAAGGGTGAAAAACTGAAAATAAATGATAATTTAAATTGCAAATAGAGATTGTGTGCAAATGAATTAAAAGTTGACGGTAACAGAGTAAGGGGAAATTAAAGGTCCTGGCTTTTTGTCTTGCAACGGTGAAAGAGTAACGGGAAAGTCAGACTAATGAGATAATTGTAAGAGAGTACAAAGTTTTAAATGGAGAGTACACTTACCTATTGCTATATAGTTCCACCAACATTTTTTTATACCTAAAAGGCCCTAACCTTCATTGGGCTTTATAAGATTTTAGATTATCAAGTCACAAATCAAATCTCAGATCTGATGGCGGCTGGCCGGAAACATCGCTGGAGCATCACTGGATGAGGTGGCAGATAAAGCGGCCGGCGGCGACGTCAGTGGAGGCAGCTATCAGTGACGCCGGTGGAGGGGGGCAGCGACGTCGGTGGAGGCGGCTATCAGTGACGCCGATGGAGGGGGGCAGCGGTGCCGCTGGTAGAGGCGGAGATGACGTTGGTGGCACCGGAGGTGAAATGTCGGCGCCACCGCCAGTGGTGGTGGCGGCGCCCACGTCGCCGGTGGAGGCGGCGGCGATGGAGGAGTTTGTGATGCTGGAGCCTGGAGATGGATGTGGTCTGCCAGAGGCTTCACCGTATGTCTAGGGCTGCTGTCATTTTTATTTCTATTATTTTATTTGCATTGTTAATAAATAATGATTTATTCATTAAGGGTATTTTTGTCTATCTAACTCTTTTTAGTCCTACAGAACATAACCGAACATTGCACTCCTATTGTTGAACTTTTAACATTATTTAGTCTTACTTGGGGAATTATCTCTTTTTTATATAATATTATTAAGGGAAATTTCCTAGGGTAAGACTAAAACTCAATCACTTTCTTAATCTATGACCTAACTAGTTTTTAGACTTCCGTATGACCGAAAATCCAAAAAAAATAAATTAATTTCGTTTATCTTTAAAGGTTGAATGAAGAAAATATCCTTATTTAAAATTTGTGAATTTTGCACTAAGTTCGTCCAATTAAAATTACTGCACTTTATATTGACGTTAATGCACGACATTAATGCAAGATTTTAATGCACATCCGGTAATTATCACTGCACTTCCGCCAAAATTAATTCTCTTCTCATTCACTTGAGGAATTTATTTTTAGTTTTTGTTTTTTGTTTTTTAGATTACATAATTTTATTATTTTACATCTAATTTAGTATATTGCATTTTATGATGATATTACTGCTCTATGTTACTGCAATACTAGTCATAATCACTGCATAACAAAAAATTTTAATGCATTCATTCACTGCATTGTACAAAATGTCTATTACCAATGTATATTCACTGCACATACTGAACACGTATTGCACTAGTTCACTATCATTGCTCAATGCTCATATTTAATGCTCACAAACCCTAAATTCAATAAAACCTAATCTCAAAAAACTGAGAAAGTATGAATCAACGAATGGCTCTGTATGCGGCTGGAAAACTTGAGAGATGGTAGAAATTGATAATTGACAATCTCAATTCTCATAATTAAGTTGACCCTTCCATCACTAGAGACATGTTCTCATCATCAATAAGTTGATCGTTCCATATAGAGCAAAGAAACTCCTGGTTCCAATCTGCAATGAGT